CTTTGAGCAACACTTGACATGAACTCGGACTCCGATCCCACTGAGCAGCAGCCTGGAGGAACAACTTGAACTGGGCGCCTTGGGACGCTTAACACCAGCTCAGATGATACAGGGGCATTTGAGGATGAAGAACGCACAGTTTTGCTCTTCTGTTGAAAAGCTGCAGTCAAAACACTTCCCAGGCTCCCGCAGCAGCCAAGAGACCCAATGCCTTTTCAAACAAGGACAGTGAATAAAGGTTTGTTGAGAGAAGATGGCAAAAAAAAAAAGCCAATTGTGCCCACACTCTCTAAACCTCTGATCCACCAGTGAATTGTTCGGAAAAACTGCTGGTACTTCAATTTTTTAACAGTACATAAATAAAAAAGAGTAAACTCAACCGGTCGTTGCACGTGAGAAGCAAGTAAATGTTGACGTGCACAAATTAGAAAATAATAGACAACGCTTTCCTGCATTGAGACTTGGCTACGGTATGAACTGATGGGAGGGCTTGGGTTTTTCTAGCAAAAAAATCAGTGATGATTTTCCTGCACTTTGCTCCTCTTCTGTGAATTGGGGAGCGAGCGGCTCGGGGGGTGCATCCACAGAACCCCCTCCTTGCTGTCAGGGCTCCTCTCTGGCTACAGCCCCAAGTCCCTCTTCGCTGAGCGCAAACCCCTGAGAAGCAAGGGACAAAGCCTTCAGCGGGACTTGTGTGTTGGTTTCTTCTGCTGCTCCTGGAGTTTTCCTGTTTGTATTAGCTGCAGAGCCTCCCTGTTGCCAACGCGGTATTCTTAACTGCAGAGCATCAGTGGTCTCCCTTTTCAACATGAAGAATAAATCAGAGCTCAAAACAGGCTGTTCCTGTGGTTTTTGTCTTTCTAGGGACTTTTTCTACCTCTGAGCAAAGGGAAAACTCAGACTGGGTTTTATCTACTGCAGAGAGAACTAGGGACTAAAGGCAACCTGTGTTTCTCTTCCTTCCATCGTCCCCCCCCGTTGTGTCTCCCCTCCTACGCAGCTCAGAGTCTCAGACACACTTTGGCAAAACGAGACTGTCACGTTCAACAACTGAATATCATCTGAAGCCGGAGAAAGGCTGCATGCTCAGATATAGCCCCATCGAGAAGGTTCGTGAGGTTCTTGGAAGAACAACCTCACCCCAGCGTGAGAGGTATTAAACCAACCACGTTTGTGCATCAATCCCTGGCAGGTGGAACATAGCAGAAGGGTCCCCCAGGAGCACAAGCGATTATGGGCTCTTCTCCTGGAGGCCCACCTTCTTTCACAGTATCGTGACGGTTGGAGAAGATCTTTAAGATCATCAAGTCCAACCATCAACCCAACCCCACCATGCCCACTAAACCATGTCCTCAAGTGCCACATCCACACGTTTTTTGAACACTTCCAGAGATAGCGACTCCACCACCTCCCAGGGCAGCCCGTGCCAATGCTTGACCCCTCTCTCAGTAAAGAGATTTTTCCTAATATCCAGTCTAAACCTCCCCTGGCCAATGTGAGGTCATTTCCTCTCATTCTGTCACTAGTTACTTGGGAGAAGAGACCAACACCCACCTCATCGCAACACCCTTTCAGGTAGTTGCAGAGAGCGATGAGGGCTCCCCTCAGCCTCCTCTTCTCCAGACTGAACACCCCCAGCTCCCTCAGCCGCTCCTCGTAAGGCTTGTGCTCCAGACCCCTCCCCAGCTTCGTTGCCCTTCTCTGGACCCTTTTATCACCCCTCTCCTTCCCTGGGGTACGCTGTGGAGCCTGGCAGCAGAAAGCCTCCCAAGGAAAGAGGGGCAGCAGCGAAGACCAGCTGCAAACCATGAATGAGGCCGTGCACGGCCACGTTGCCAAGCAAATGGGGCAACGGCAGCAGAAGGCCCCCTGGGGAGGCTGTCTCCGCTGGTCCCTTTGCTGCTGGAGACAGAACCCGAGGGTAGGGATCGCCTCCCCTTGCAGGGCAGGTGCTGATGATCGGAAAACACAGCACATGGTCGTGTCTTACTGCAACAACGCGACTCAGTGCAAGAACGGGTCCATCACTGCTTAGTGGGCAGCAGTTTCACCGTTTGTCAAATGAAGGATGTGTTTTCCAACTTGGTGAAATGCAAGGGGCTTCTTTTAAAAAAATTATTAATTTTTTGGAGGGGGTGAGCATTAAGAAACTGTACTGCCAGTTTCAGTGGCAAAAACATGTTTTCCTACTTGCTAATAAATGCTCAAGGGATACAAAGGTAAGAGAAAAGACTTTCGGACACAATAAAGTGATTATGTGCACTAGACTTGGAATCGGGTAACACTTCCCCCTCCTCCTCCTACTTGAAAGGCTGCACCTCGTACAGATGCAGAGCAGACCGCTTTTGCTCTGCTACTCAGTGACAGGACAGCGATGCTCAGCGGTGGATCCCGGAGGTGGATCCCTTCCCATTCTCTACTTCCATTTGCTATTATTTCTTTTTAACATCGTGCATCGTGCATTTCTTTGCAGGACTGCTGCCGAGCTGAGTTTCTGAAGAGGTTAACTGTATTTGTACAGGGTAGAGGGAAGTTTGGCACTCCACCAGTTACCGAACCGTACGCTAGCCTGTAATTTATCATAAGGAAGTGTGGCGCTCCAGATAGGTGCCACCCTTTTCTACATTTGGTTTAATTACACCTGTGTAAATTAATAATTCGGCCATTGTCACTACGAGCTTAATTATTGCCAGGACATTCAACGTGGCTGCACTGAATCTCCCTAAAGACAAGCTCCTATGTTTTCTTCCTCTTCAAAAAGCCAAAGGAATACTAAAGCGCACTGCTAGAGCCTGATTCTGCTCCGTTCAAACACAAAGGACCTACAGCAGTGTTAATACAGAACCCCTTTCCTTTAGACTCCACCTTCAACTGAGCCATCCTTGGAAGTCCCTACTTTTGAGTTCACCACTGGTCCAGCCTTGTCTCTGGATATGCAATATGGTTCTCAGGATCTGAACTTCCACCACTAGGAAATTCGTCTTCCTAAAGAACTCGCTTTTTTCTCCTGTGTCGCACCTCCCGATTTACTCACTTTCTTATGAACCTTAGCATTTTCTTTTCACCAGAGAGGCACAAGTCCAGGGATTCTAAGAGTCACGCAGAGGATACAGCGCTATGCTCTGATGACATGGAAAGTCTGAATCAGACTTAGTCAACTTAATTGGCCTGAAACGGTGCAGCCAAGACACAGACAGAGAAAGTAGATCAGAGGAACTTCTCTGTATAGAAGGAGCGAGGACCTTCTCTGTCGCCTGGCCATCTTTCAAACACCATTTAAGGTAACTGCTTGTACAATTTTTCAAAGGACAGCCGTCCAACAGCAGAGAAAGCCAGCCAACTTTCAGTGGAAGCACAGGATATCTCCATGGATTGCACCCGGAATTCAAGCTTTGTCGGTGGCCAACCACACCTCTGACTGTGGATAGCGAAAGGCAAATGACACGCTCGCTGCTTCGGAAAGCTCTTGCTAACCTGCATGTTTTCCGTAGCGTCACCAAGCAACCCTCCAAAAGTGATGGCGTTGGTCACTGTGGCCAGGTAGATGAAAAGAACGGCTGAAAGGGCTTGAATATTTAAAGCGTCATAGAAGTCGCTGGCGAAGAACGGTGCTTTCCTCTTTATGTCTTTGATTAAGCCACCGCAGAATCTGAAAAGACAAGCAAGAGAAGACTCGTGCAAAATGCGTTACAGTGAAAGTCACCAGGATAAGTAATCCGAAACGTTGCCAGAAATGAAGTATTATCTGAAAGAAGTGAGATCATCATACTACATAATAGTCTTATCGCAGCTGGGATGGTCCAGGGATGCCACTGAGGTAACGTTGTAAAGAAAGATAATATCCTGAACACATAATGCAGCTGGAAAGAAGCAAATTTCAGGAACACAAGCCCTACCTCTGCTGAAACAGACCGCTAAAGTTCGCAGTTCAGGAAGCTTGTCTGTTGTTTTTTTCCCGAACTACATCGGTTGATGTAATAAAATACATTAACTCTAGTCTAAATCCCTGCCTAAATTTCTCCACGTGGCAGACACGATGGTTGGGTGAGCCAAACAATCGGCTAAATGGAAAAACGCTTCAAACTGTTAACCAGAAAAAGAACTGGAAGTTAAAACACAAGTGAAATAATCTTGGAGAACAAGAGAGCTCCACTTGCAGACATGTTCTCTTTGCACAATCACAGACAAGACAGTCTTTAATTTCACGTGGCTCTGACACTGCCAGCGTGAAAAACGCTTCTGTTTTGCCTCTTGTTCCCACCAACGCCGGGACTGTTCAGACACTCTACGCAGAGAGGTACACGGCAAAGAGTTACACGTTACTTTCTGCCCCAGAATCGGGACGTATCGACCCCCTTGCACACACCAGTGCATTGTTTCAGACTTTGAGATTTTTCTCCTAGAATTTAGATACTCTACGAGAACTTAAAAAAAACACATAGGGTGGGAGGGAGGGCACAATGCCACCACAAAAACCTGTGTATCGACCCTGAAACGCTGAGCGCCCTGTTTTACGGCCACCTGAACTGCATTCCCATGGATTGTAGGAGTAGCGGACTTCGACGTGGCATACAAAGGGAGTAACAAAGCAGAGAGTAAGGCCTCGGGCTGCATTACCTTCTGCGTTTCCACCCCGTAACAGCCTTCCTCTGTGCAATTCAACTACAACAGGAATGTCTCGAAAAGGGAACGTCTCTGCTTTTGGCTAAAGCACTGCCAGCGATCCAAACAGAAACCGTAGCTGTCCCTGCCACGTTTACGTCCCTTACGCTTCGTCTCACCTCACAGACTTGCAATAGCCAACACCCACCCGGGCCTTCTTTCATTTTTGAGTGCCTCATTTAAGACGTTTTGTAATTCGCCGAGGCTGGATGTTCAGAACCCTTCAGACAGTCTCAAGCCGGGCGCTAAAAAACCCAGGACACTTTTTGGGGTCACAGCTCAACCTATACGAACAGTATGTCAGGATGGAGGGCACAAGGGGCGAAACGCTTCTGCAAGGGAAAGGTTGCCACCGTGCTCGGATCACAGCGGGTGCGTCACCCCGAGCGGCGCGTTACCGACCTGCCAGTGCGTTGCAGCTCTTCACAGTCCCCGTGGCCCCCGCCGCCGTGTCCTCCGTCGTGAGGCGTGTCTCCATTCATCTGCAGATTTTCTCCACCAGAGTACATGTTTTTCCTAGGCAAGAAGGCAAGCCAAACTGAGGCTCGCTGCGCTGCCTGACGGCTCCGCAAAACAGAATCCGCACACAGTTCCTCCAAACGAGCGTGACCCAGCCTTTCCCGAAGCCGTGCAGTACAAAGCAGACTAGAAGGCTGACCTGCTGGCAGCCAGAGCCGAACGCAGCATGTTAGAAAGACCAAGCAGAACCCCAAGAGTCTGGATAACCACTCTGTACGTTTGTATATGCCAACAACATCACCTTCAAGGGTACAGAACTGCAAGAATGCCCTCCCTCCAGCTATTAAGAAAGACCCGACAATATCTCTTAGTACTTTCTAAATACCGAGAGATGCAGGTCACTGTGCAGTTGCTCAGCGAACCTGGTGTAGGCAAAGCACCGGCTCTTCCCGTCCCCTTTTCAGAACTGATGCATGCTGCCCTGCACCACAGAGCTAAACCGGCCCATCTCCTGCTATCACCTTTTATCTGAAGAAGGAAGAGACTTGGGGGGCTCTATCCTAATGGCTGGATCCCATTCCCCAGGGGGGAGCACAATGACTTCATCCAGAAACTCATCGATGCCAGCGATCAGGTCCTGCCGGTCCTTGGCTTTATAGGCAATGTCGTGGAACACCTGCAAGGACAAGAAAGACTCCACGTTGAAGAGGTTTGCACTTTCTGCAGCCCAGCCTCCAGAGGCAGCTGCCAAGTTTTATTCTACAAAAACAGCTTATTCATTCTCAAAAACTTCTCAAGAAGTATCAGGACATTTGGCGGAAGGGTGCGTGAACCTCAGGAAAGCCCTTTCCTTCCTCTATTTAATGATAGAGATTCTTCTCTTGCAGGCATATTTCTCATTTGTAGCAAAATATAAACCTCTGACCTTTTAAAAAATGTTACTAAAGCAATTATCCATTTCTTTTATTAAAAAAAAGAGCTTTCCTATAAATAAGAAGTTTCAATTATACTTTGAGAAGACACTTTTACAAAGACACAGAAGTGTCAATCCTTGTTTCCTACCTACTTCAGTCTATCAAAAAATGGGTTAGTTATCAACCCTGTGACATAGAAACGATGACAACATTTACTCAAAAACAGTAACAAGAAGCACAAACTAGTTTTACTGAAAAGCTTAGTATTACTGATGAAGAGCAAATGAGAGAAGTGAGGAGAAAGCGTTAATGCTGAATTTTACGGAAAGCTTTTGGACTACTCGGAGCGAAGGTGGATCGGCCCACATGATAGGCTTAGTAAGGTGGTAGGTAGGAGGACTTTGGGGCTATGGAAACTAGACCATGGCTCTGAGCGGTGGAATGAGAGAAAACAGAAGAGCTGAGAGCGGGCGAGCAGTAATTAAGGGAACCGTCCGGGAGCAGAACAACATAAGGAGAAAGCAAGAAACAAACATAATGTAAATCAGCCCAAGGGACGCTGGAAGAAAGAAGCTGTAAATGAATTTAAAAGCACAGTCATCTCATGGAGATGTATGATTACCAAGTAATTGCTACCTACTCATGGATAATATATAAGCACTGCCTGAATGAAGAAGTGCTCTGGGATACACCGCAACACACAACAGTATGTCCCGGGTGTAACCATTTCTGCGGGAACTACCTGGAGCGTAGCCGCGATCCGGGAATGTGACACAAGGCGCGCACCGTGACGAGATGAACTCAAACATTAATTCATAATCTATTTGAAAGAGCGATTGCTAGCAGGAAAGTACACGCGACGGACAAAGACTTCCTATAGCCACGCTTTCATAAAAACATCAAGTCAGATAAAATAATTATGTGAACAGATGGAATTAAGAGGTGACATTTGGATATTTCAGCTTTATGTGTATGCCATTCCCGTCGACCACGCTGGAGGAAGGGACATGGTTATTAGCTAGTGAATTGAAACCCGGGAGAACCTGTTTCACACAGAGGGTGTCAAGACGCCTACCTCATCCGACATCAGCGTGGCGATGGCTCGGCCGATCTCATGATAGGACTTTGCTTTGCCCTTCGGTCCCAGCAGAATGAAGAGAAATCTGACAAAACAAACAGGTTGTTCCCATTCAGGATAGCAAAATGGATCGCTTATTACTTAGACAATACCTAGACAGAAATTCAACTTGAAGCAAGTTGTGGCCCTTGTTAGAGATCCAGAGGCTGCCAGCGGCCTCCTGCTAACTGAGGAGCAGAGGTTCCACCCTGCAGCCCATCACACTTACTCGGACAAGCAAGACACTATCCAGAGTTTTTCTCCCAAAAAGCCTTGAAAAGCGGCCTTGAGACCACGACGGCCAAATGCTATCGCAGCCCTATGCATAAGTCGCTACCATCCAGCAACCTAGACTTCAGGATGAGGTGAGGGAAGGACATTCTTCCAATGCCCAGTACCTGGAAGCGAACTATGCACGACAGATGCAGCTCCAGCGCGGGGCGGTTGAGAATCCGTGCCCTGGGCACCGCAGAAAGCCCATCCACCTCCACGGTGATTTATTTGATCCTAAGTTACTGGCTCCCTGTGGCTGTGCAATCCTTGTGTACGACATCTGCGTTAAACACTTCCTTAGCGCTATTCCGCTGCCGTTTAAGTGACAACAGCAGTGACGTAACTGCTGCTAGGACTAGTCAGGAGCGGACAGAAGATACAAGGATTGCTCACTCCGCACAGCTCCAAGGGCAGGGACGCTCCTGACGCGCGGGGTGGACCAAGCGGGGCCAGCGCAGCAGCGGGCAGTGAGGTAAGAGGGAAGATGCTATTAACTATCCACATTGCTCACCGTGAACTACATCGCTCCCGCGAGCTATCGGATAGCGCTCCGCGCGCTTATTAATGCTCTGCTGGGGCTGAGATCTCTGTTAGGGTTCAGCACCCACCTGTGAAGGGAAACCAGTAATCTAAAATAGGCCTTTAGCTATAAATAACTAACTTGTACGCCCTGAATTCCCGCTCCGAGTAGACAAGACATACCAGAGACCTGTAAGCCTATCTGACGGCTTCGTAGTCACAGCTTAATTCTTAAGCAGGCAACTTCAAGTGTAAACCTATTCCTATGGTAGGCACCATCAGTGAGGGTGACTACACCTACAAAGAATTAGGAGTTAATTTCTTACATGATCTCTTTGGGCAGATAAAAAAATCACTCGGATAGTGATATCTGAGTCACTGCTAACCAGTTTGAAAAACCCCATGATATGAAACCTTTGGAGCCAGGAAATTTCTGCTTTTTACCTTTCCTGACTTGGCTTCTGTCAGTGCTAATGTGCTATGAATCAGGACTTGCCTACACAACAGTATGTTCTAATGATATTCCTTAACGGGAAAGGCTATACGTGGAAAACGGATGCTTCTGCCAATAAAACCGTCAAGCAGTTGCACCAGAATAACGGGAACGCTGGTGAAAGTTGGCTGGGTTTTCCAACCTCTTAATTGACATTCATTAGAAAAAGTTTTAAGTACGGCCTCGTGGTTGGATCTTCAAAGGTACCTAGATCCTCCTGGCCTGGAGTGAAAAATTATTTTTTAAAAAAGATACCATCATTCAAATACTACTTAAGTCAGGAAAGACCTAAGCCTTATCTTAGACACTCCCAGTTCCTAAACTAAGTTTCATATGCAAGGCCGAGCTATCAATGCTGAAATGGTGAAAGCCGTTACGTCCGGTAGAAATACTCTTACTTAAATGTTGGTTTCATGCTGTAGACAGTTGCCAAGCTGGCAGCTACTTACTCACGCAGCATCGACGGCCTTGGCTGTAATAAAACAAGCTTCCTATAGATCCCCTGTTCAGATGCGTCCCTGAAAAAAGATTTGGTTCCTGGCTATGGCAAGAAAATGCATCTGTCTTCATGCTCACCTCTTTGCCTTGCCAACTGCCTTGTTAAGAAAGCCCCGATACTCCTCTTGGCCGTCTCGCACAACGGCCAACATTCGGTGGCCTGTGGGATTTCAGTGGAGACCATTGTGCCGGTCAGGCGGTGTCGATTCAAGCGTTCAGCCTGAGCGGGACTCTAACTAGTGACCTTGAGATAAAAGTCTCTCTCTCTCGCACACCAACTCAGCCTTGCAGTTAGCAACAAAAGAAGTCACATGGCAGGAGACCAACTTCTCCATTTCCTAATTTAGCAAAGACTGGAAATTACTGGGGCAATTTTCAGCAAACTCCCTATCAGCATGTGTTTCAAACAGAAACACTAATAGCTTCTCAAAACAACTTTAAAGCTTCCTGAATTAAGCCTTTTTCCAATTACAGCCGTACCTTTCAGTAATGGAAAATAAACACACTATAACCTTTGGTAAGTTGTCTCATCTAAAACCTTTCGCATTACTTCCAGTGTGAATTTGCGTTAGCTTCAACTTCCAGTCATACATTTTGATTGTCTCTCATAGCTAGATTGGAGAACCCTTGATAATTCAATTCCTTTAAAGATCCTCCCCTATCGATCCAGTCACCCATAGCCATCTGTCAATTAGGTTAAGCCATTTGAGGCTCTTTAGTCACTTCAACGGCTCTTCCGTGAACCTCCTCTGACGCATTAGTGCCTTCCTCAGGGAAATCATCCAAGAGCTGGCAGTTTTGTCAGCGCAAATGTAAAGATGAAATAACCTATGGCTACTCAGGAACTTTATGCGAGCCTGCTTTCCTGAGAAAATGAAGTTAGGAGCATTGAGGCAGGGGACAGGACTTTAGGTACGGACAGGCACGGGAAGTCTTAGGAAACATGGCTGGATGACAGCGAGAGCTGGGATTACTGCTGTGGCGGAGAGAAAGGACATGGCACATAGTTCTAGGAAACCAGGTTTCAGGGCTTCCAGCACTGATGGAATGATCCCCTACACCCAGGGATGGCCCCAGCCCTTTACCTACAGCATCCCCCAGAGAAAACTGGTACTCGGAGCACAGCTCTTCCACCTGCGCTCTCTGTCCCTCGAGGGAGAAGCTGACGTGGGGCCAAGTTAAAGCACCGATGGCCGGACCGCTCTGGGCCATGGAGACACCCTCTTTGTTGTTTGTCAACCTTTACTGTGTTAACTATACATCTTCTCAAAAGACACTTACAAAATGTGAAACATGCAACAGGGTTGAGAGGTGTGACACCTCACCAGAAGTACTTCTCCCCTTACAAGCATTGTAAGTGTTAAATATTATTTTAACCTCCTGAATCAACGTATTGTGAGGTACTAAGTCAAATGCCTTACAAGGTGTATTATATCCAAACAAGTACTTTCTATTTGGGAAAAAAAAAAAAAAAATCTATAGAGTCCTCCAAAAAAAAAAAGCATCAAGTTAGTAGGACAGGATCCATAAACACATATTAATTGGCATTACTAACGGTAACACTTCCTAATCGAGTTCTTCATGAGGCTTTCAAGTGTTCTACTTAAGGTTCACATGGAGGTGACTAAGCCATACACGCCTAGGTCATGTCCTCTGCTCTCCTCCTACCTCCTGGTACTTTCCCTGTGTTTCAGGAGTTATTATAAATCAACATTAAAGACAAACTGTTCCTCAGCCAACTCTTTCAAAAGTCTAGAATGCAAATTATCCAAACATATTAATTTTTCAAAAGGGTTCTGAAGTTGCTGCTCGGCATTCGCCTGATTTTCCAGGGGAACGAGACATATTCATACCATCTTCTGAAGTAATTACATCAGCTGGCTCTCTTCCAATGAGTAACAGAAGTACCCGAATGTTCTCGCATTTACTAAAATGTTCTTAAAAAAATGGAGTTTGCGACACTTTCCAAATTCTTCGTCCTGACTGATTCGGCTCAGAATTGCCTTCAGCATGTAGAACAAGACCTTTTAAAGGGCCAAATGTTATAAATGCAAAAAAATTAAGGCATTTTAGTGGTTTGGACTAGATTATGTTTGCATGCATTTAAAACCATTTAGTTATGAACACTTCCACCTAAGAAAGCCCTCACTTCTAGGCATGACACACTCCTCCTCTTCATGGGCCAAGATGAGAGCCAGCACAGAATTCCTCTCTGCTGCACACAACACACGAGGAGTTATCAAATGTCCATTTCTGATACTGAACATTGCTAAGGATGCCTCAACGCAGAGAATGTGAGGTTTCGCCTCTTATCGCTTAGCTCAAAGTCCCTCTGAAGCAGTAACAAAATTCAGTGCTTCTCCCAGCTTGCAGACAGGGCTGTATTAATTAGAATTTATTATTCTGTTTTACCTAAAGTGCTATTCCTCCTGCCGTTTTTACCCTTCTTAAGCTGACGATGACTACCGACTAAATACGATTCACCGTTTCATCGGATGGGCTATGCCACCAAACCCAACAAGAATAAATTCTTTCTCACAGATGATTAATTCCAATTCAAAATGGACAAACGTGCCCTGGTCAACGTACTGTACACCCAGCCAACGCGCCTAGAAGATCTAAACGTAGCACCACAGCAACACCGTGTACAAGCCCAGTAACCCGGGGTTATGGACCTAAAAACCTGCTATGAGCGACCGCAACCCTCCTGGACCTCGGCGGCAGGTGACACCGGAGACTGTGGGGCAGAATTTCAATCTAGTTTGCCCAAGGAGGCAACAAGGCTTTACGTGCTGTGCTTCTGAGAAATTTGGCTACAAATCTCCATGAAATCACATGACGAGCCCACCTGGGAGGTGGGGAGTGAATACAACACAGACAGGCTCCAAAGTCAGTGCAGCACTAATAATTTGCCACCCGTTTGGGACATCCTGCAAGAAATACATAATGTCCGTGACTATCAAGTTCCCATACGGTGTAAGGGTCATGGTGAAACCTGTGTCGGGACCAAGCCTCACCATGGTCTCTTCGCAAGCTGATCATCGGTGCAGGAGACAAGGTCGTCCCGTGTCCTGATCCCCCAAAGAGGAAGAGCAAGTAAAACAAGACTGAAGTTCAGCCTGCTCATCCATGCCTATCGCTCCAATCTGGAGCGAGCAAGAGCAGCAACTCCATCAGGGTTAAAGGCACCTACACAAAGAAAACTCAGCAAGGTCCTGGAGAAAGGGTTTTCATTTTTGAGAGGGGTGCGGGGGAAGTAGTCCTTCTGTTGTTGGCCACCATGCGAGATGCCTGCAAGGCATCCAGCATTCCCAATAGATGTACATGTTGATGGACTCAAGGGCTGAAAAAATACGCTCTTGATGTACTTTTCCAGCAGAATCTGCGGCTTGGGCCACTGATGAAAGGAGCACGACGTGAGATTGCAGCAATGAAAGGAGATGGTGAAATGTTTGGTCTGTCTTCTATTTCATACAGGTGATCCTTCGGGTTTTGGGCAACGTACCAAAACTGCAGGCTTCTCACACGGTGCCCCACGCATGGACGCAGACAAAGGTAGTCCTTTTTCTGCCAGAGTTCCGATTTCCCAGAGCAAGTCCTTCTGCTGGAAAGGCTGCTAAAGGACACTGCCCGGAAAACCATCTCAATGCTGTCATTAATGAACAAAACACAGGTTTCATCCTCACCTACAAAGAAGAAAAGATGCCTCTGCAGTTACAAGCTAAAGTTAGGAGGCAAGGGAGGAGAATCTTGTAGCAGAACTTGCCTTGTAGCAGAACTCCTGGTTCTGCTACAAGCTTCCTAAGTGACCTTTGGGCAAGTTACTTCATTTCATTTGAGACTTGCAGACACAGGCAATTTCCCAGCACTACATATTAGACTGTGCAAGTCTGTACAGCTTATCTCCAAAAAAATCTTTCCCTTGCTCATTCTTCATCTTTTTTCCCCATCAACATTAGATTAATGCAGCAGACCAGAACACATAATTGCACATTTCTTTTATGAAAATAAAAAGCTACATCTACCGCACTGTCCAGAGGAGAAGCAGCCATACCCAAGCCACGGTGCAAGCACAGTACCTAAGTGGCTTGCCAAAACGAGGAGTTCATAGCACTGTGGAACTGAATTCAACACGAGAAAGCCTAAGTCCTTCAAGTCTTTTTTCAATCTGAATGGTAAAAAGGGAACTCCACACGGCGAAAGGCTGGGATCTCTCCATAGCAATTTCAGATCCCGGATTTTTATTACTAGGGCTGTATGAAAACACTCTGCTGAGAAATTCTTCCTGGAGAGTTCATCAGATCTTGCTGGTTTCTTTTAAGCAAAAATTTGCCTTTAAGTAAAGGAAATACTTAAAATACTTAGCAAGGAAGTGTGAAGGAGAAAAATATGTAGAAAATATATGTATCCAAGGAAGAGTCATTTCTACACAGGAAATCTTATTTCTATAAAGCCTCCAAAATTCTCTAACTTACAAGAAAAATCCAAGCCAAAGAATGTGTGTGTGGAGGAAAGAAAAAAAACAATCAGCAGAAATAAGTAACCATTTAACTGGAAGTCTACATGTTGAATACTGTCTACCTTACGCACACCACAATCCTTTTTCTTTCTACAGTGCTAGGTCAACGTGAATAAACCAAAACAGGGCAGGGACCTGGGATATCATGAGCCTTTCACCCTTGCAGGGCTGGGTGTCGTATTTGCTTCTATGCCGCAAGACCGTACGACATCTTATGCGTCCAGCTGACGGACGCAGCCGATGCACTGGTTCTCGGCTAGTCTCAGGAAAGCTACCGCTGCCCTCTCCCTGCAGACCCTGCCCGGTCAGTGCTTTCAAAAGCAAAACGTCAAGACGGCTTCGTGCGTTCCTGCAAGCTGTGTGACACCGTGTTACGGCTGGGAATGCTTCCTCCCTCCTTCCAGCTCCTCGGGAGGGCTCTCCCCGTCCCTCTGCCGCTGACCCAACGAGCCCTGCGACCGTCACCTCCTTAGGGCAAGGCACTTCGCTGGCTCCCGGGAGGTGTTTGGTCTACCGTAGTTGCTAAAGAGTGTGAGATTTTTACCTAACACAGCACAGCAGCAACAGGACCCGGATTGCTGCGCGAAGGCGCCTCCGGCCGTGCGTGTCCCCGTGGGAATCGATGCCTGTGCGAACGCCGTCTCCGCTCGGCGTTACGGACCGGCATGCCCACAGCCCCGCGCTGAAACCGGGCTGTTTAACCCCGCTGCCTGCCCCACAAAACGCCAACCTGCTGCCTTCTAAAGAGACAGGCAGCTGCGGGGCAGGCTGCGGTTACTCGATAGAGCCTGGGTCCCGACACTCCTGCAGCAACCCACAGCGCCGAAACGTTAGCTTGCGTTTCTGTAGAAACCCCAGGTGGTTCCGCACTGCCTAGCCTTGATGGCGTGGTTTTGACAATTTTACCAGGAACTTGGTAATTTAACAAAGTAAAAGGAGAAGCCCCAAGAGAGAGAAGGGGGAGCGCACCGAAGGCTCCAGCATCTCGCGGAGTCTGTGGGCTGTCAAGTGCACGTCCACAACAGGAACGCCGGCCGCGCGGGACGGCCAAGACTCGGCGCTGACCAAGGAGACGCTCCATCATAGCTCGTCTGGGGCCCGACGGGATTTCCTTGATTGAATTTCACAGGATGCAGCCATTGCAAATGGCTCTTCATTACTCATGGAAGACATCTAATGAGCCTCCCTGCTTTGATTAGGGCTAGCATTTGGTTTGGAGGACAGCAAATGGATAACACTGTTTCCTGGAAGAAATGTTGGCATGGAAAGACATATTGTCTTGATTAATGCTACTGAGTAATGAGGTCGCTCAGCAATCCTAGATGTAACTTCCTGGCTCCCACTACCAAAACAAACAACACCTAATTTTACATCTGCTGAAAAGCATTCGGAGATGTGTTTAAAAAAAAAGAGAAAGTGGGATTAGACTTCGAAGCTGAAATACTCAAGCATAGAGAGCTCAGAAACGCTGAGGGATGAAGAATAAACTTTTATAAAATTAAGCCACTTTTCTCTCCCCATACTCCTACCAGAAAGACCAGTGTGCGCAAACAGTCGTTGACGTGGTTGTTGTAAGAAGCTGCTTAAAGAAACTCCGAGAAATACCAACACTGCTGCATTACTAGAAGGCAATTAAACAAATTGCACGACGAGATCATCTTCTTCTTTTGTTCTGTACATGGAAATAAGGTACAGATTATAACATATAACTTTATAACATTCATCCCATACAACGACTGGATTAGTAACGCACTGGCCGCGTGCCTTTGTCATGGTACCGTTTCTCTTCTCACAACATGCTACTCGATGTAGCCTCAAACCCTCCCGGCATTATTCCAATCACAGCTTTCACTCTGTATTGAAAGCCTCTGCAACCCTTCACATAAAATATGTATTTGCACATTAGCGACGTGAAAGGTGCAGTCTGAGCTCCATAACTACAAGCGAAACGCAGAGTAAACCCTTTCTAAGCTGATACCAAAAGCACGCCGGAGCCCAGGTGCGCAGCAGCACCGCGGAGCAAGGCGCCGCGCCGAAAGGGGATATTGCAAACCAGCTGCAGGCTGTCCACCTGCAGCCTCTCGCGTCCTTCTCGTGCCAGTGTGCCTCGTTACCTTTTAATACTAACCATTTCTGCCGTTCTTACCTCGGTGGGGTGTGTATTTATGAGGCAAAGATATACTACTGCTCAACGCTCACAAACAGCAGTTGCTCTGGACGTCTATAGCGATAATTCTTCCCTCCTACGTTACATCGTAAGCAACATGCAATCATATAACTAAGGGTAATACGGCCACGAATTTAAACAGGAATTTACCTTTCCTCTTCCCGTAGATATATACATAGGTATGTACAGACAGTGATGCATATTCAAGCAGTGAATGCAAATATTTAAGAACCTAAGATATATTCCTATTGGTGAGTCTCAGATGAATTTGCAACATGAGTCACAATAAATAAAATATTTATAGGACATTTTTCTCTGAACCATTAAGCGTGACAAAGCAACATACAGTGCGACCACCCCGAGAGAACGGTATCCCCGTGTTTACTGGACTTCTTTTTTTTGCCCAAGCAGGGCCAGAATTGCGTCCTTCATCTAATGTGAGTTTTTAAGAGGAAAAACATGTACTTCCACCACAAGACGGAAAGCAACGGAGAACGTCTTCTTTTGGCCCGGTGTTTTTATGTTAAAAGGTGGGAATGTAGTTTCCAATTCCCGTCCCCTGCCCGGGGGCTGAATTCTCTTACCGGGTAGGGACGGGGACTTCAGTCAGAGCACCCAACATGACCGCCTGCTGCAGCCGGACGAAGGCAATGAAAGGACTCTCCAGGAAGTCCACCTCCCCCACCAGCACATTGGAGGCCTCGGCATCACGGGGCAACTTCTTCATGAATTTATTCTTCAGCTGCGTCAGCGAAAGAGGAAGGAAAAGAAAAATAAGTCTTGTTAGGCATGCAAATAAACGTGCAATAAAATTTACCCAGTTTTCACCCACATTTCCTCCTTGGTCAGAATATATCTTTGGCCAACATGTATCACCCCCCCAGAGCCTATTAAGATACAGAACCGCTAAGAAGATCAGCCCCAGGAGAACAACGCCGATGTTGGTGCTTGGAGCCAAGACGATGCCGAGAAGATGATGCCTCTTGGAGCTGCTCTTTCTGTTTACAGGCCTGAACCGGTACGATTTTGGGCAGAAAAAGATGTGCAGCACCGAGGGAGATGAACGGATCTGGGCAGGGTTTCAGGAAGAAGCGCTGCACCACCTCGCTGCCTGGCCATCCGCGCGACGGGGAAGGACAGGCGGTTTGGTCGAGTGAAACTCCACAATCTGTGGTTGCTATTACAGAAACGACCAGCCTGAGGAAAACTAACCCTGAAGGGTGGACGCCAGGAGCTGGGCACCTGCATTTTGCCGGGTATGTGTCTTTTCAGGTTCCAAGGGAAAAACTAAGCTTAGCGCAAGGCTTTTAGGAGCGTGTTTCCTCTGCCTGCGGCTTCTGCCTTAATCTAAAATTTGCCTGAGGTTGTCCGAAGCCAGCACGTGAGGCGTCGCCGGGCAAACGTGGCAGGCGTGCTGGGTTTGAAACTATGCTGACGGTCTCAGTAACTGTCTAGGTGAGAGACTGGCTCGTTACTGCTCCCCACCATCACCGCCCGAGCCCTCCGCCCGCCCACAGGCTGCTGCCCCCCGAGCACAGAGCGGGGCACGGCCGAAGGGGCACAGAAGAACGTGTGCTGTCATTAGAGACCTTCCGTCCAGAAGAAACCCCCTCCTCAGTCCTTCGACGGAATGATGCTGGATGGCTACTAGACCCCTCACCTCCCAACGATGTGAAGCAAGAGGAAGCCTTGGGAAGAAGTGAAGTGAGAAGGGGCATCCATGGAGAAGAGAGAAATCGAGAGAGGGCTTCCGACAAAAATAAAAACACCGGTCCGGGGTGGAGAAGCCAAGGTGGGAGCGGGGGAAGATGAGGAAGAGGGTGGCTGTGAGCGGCACACACGGCCCCTGGGAGGGTCCCGAGCCAGGAGGGGTTGGGGGGGAGAGGGAAGCCCCTCCAGA